TGTTTGAATTAGAAACCAACTGAAAAATATGTAGGTAATAGCCGATTTCATAGATGGCGTTGTAATTAAAATCGTGTCGAATCAGTTTTACTCGATCGTCACAACTTCGTTCCTATCGGGTGTCCCACGACACCACACGGCTTTTTTTTTTATTGATTTGCTGCAAATGAGTCAATATTGTAGGTAGGGTAACGTTAAACCATCCCGCTAATTCCTGGTGGTGGAAGCCGATCCTAGTCAAACTACCCTGTTTGACTCGGATTGTCTTCCACCATCTCCCTTAATTCAACGTTATTCACCTGTGTGAGCGGTCTTCCACGTGGTTCGTTCTTCAAGTCGAAGTTTCCATTACGTAAGCGTTTAAACCACAATCGCACGGTGCGTTCATTACAGGGCCTCCAAACGCACCGTTGATATTGCTAGCCGTTTCTGCCGCGTCGGAACTCGTATTTAAAAATGACTCGGATTTTAGAAGTATCCATCTTTCTCGTCTAAGCTGTGCACATTTTTGTGCACACACATGTTGACTGCACGGATGGCGTAGTCGTTTAAGTGGTCGCCACTTCCTACTACGCCGAGTGTTGTGGGTTCAAACCCCACATGGGACAATACTTTGTGTGATCCACAAATTGTTGTTCTGAGTCTGGGTGTTCTTTGTGTCCGTTTCATGTTTTTTGTGTTTCATTCCTAATGCGGGCGTTGTCTTTTTTTTTAAAAGAAAAAAATAGATGTTGCACAAATTTTTAAAAGAACCTCATAGGTATCATGCATTGAGTTAAAACAACACTAGAGAAGCAAACCTCATTATCACACGTCGAAAAAAGTGTAACCACTTTTGAACTTTGACGACGTAGCTTTGATACCACTAAACATTGGAAAATAAACATATTTATGTCTCATTTACACGCGAGACAAGAACAATACCATCGCTCGGATTAGACAAAGACAAAGACATAACTTTACGATGGTGGGCCAGTGTTGACTACCATATGAAATTTTACCCATCATCATCATCATCATCATCAACAGCCTATACTAGTCCACTGCTGGACATAGGCCTCTCCTTGGAAAGGAGGTTTATTTTACCCATAACAACCAAGAAACAATTTTTTTTAAAACAATTGTAATAAAATAAATTAATTTAAATATTTTAAATAATATATTTCGAATTGAATGGAATCGGTATAAATAATAAAATAACTGGAAATATTTGGTTAAAAGGGTTTATATTCAGTGTAAAATCAAACTCCGCTATGAAGCATCAGTTTTGTATACAATTGTCTATTAGACTCTTTTTTATAAGTTTCTGTGGATATTTTACTTTCATGATACAATCTTATTTTTACGTATGTATAAATAATGACATTTAATAATAAAAGTGAATGATCAACTTGTACTGATAATAAATAATCCCCAGGGTGTATTGCAAATTCTTTTAATATTTTAAAATACAAATAAAAAATATATATATATAACTATATATATATATATATTATAAAAAAATATATATATAACTATATATATATATATATATTATAAAAAAATATATATATAACTATATATATATATTTTTTTTAATTTATTTACTTTCTTATTTTTTTTATTTTTATTTTGTACAATTATTATTAAAAATTGATAATTTATTAAGAAAAACAATGAATTAATTCTTTTGTACAAAAGTCTCCAGCACTGCGAGCTTGGCAGAAGGTGAACGTTCAACAGGTCCCTAAAAAAAGTGATCGGTCCAGCCCTAACAACTACCGTTCTTCCTATGTTTTATTTTTTTTGGTAAAATGTTTAAAAACAGTATAAAGCATATTATTTCATAAATTATAAATTCACCCACTAATGTGGGAAAACCAAAATGATTTTTTAATGGTAACACTGATTCTAAATTACAATTATCAATGTTTTATTTCAATTATAGCCTTATTTACGATATTATCAATACAAAAACCATAAACTTACACGTGAAAAGTAATTCCGCATGATTTATTATGGTTTTGTGACCTTGAATTGCATTCTTTCACTACGCATTTACCCATTTTGGCGATTGTTACTGTCATGTGTCGCTATGTTCAACTCGGTTGACGCCACATTGAACACTGAATTGACGTTTGCTACGCATATGGCTGTGGACAGATGTGCAGTAGCAACGATTTTAGGCGGTAATTACTCATCTATGTAAGTATTATATCAATGGTATCATGTGGAAAAAGTTTCACACGAAAATCTCACACCATAAAGGTTTTATGTCAATGAGGGTTTTCGATACTTTTTCAGCCACCAGACGGCGCTTCGTATGCGTCAGGTCAAAACAGCTGTCAGATAGCACAGATTCTTACCGAACGTATAATATTTTAGTGAAATTCTATGAATTTGGAAGTGTTATTGAGTTTATTATAGATTACGGCCTGAGAAAGGTTGCCGAACTGTAGATTGAGCTGAGCATACGTTCTTTGCATCGTCCAATTAGTTGTCATTAAATCTGCCAATGCATAAAATTGTGCATAAAGTTAAAATAAATAGATTTTAAACAAAAAAAAATAACTCCCGTTCCTCTATAATGTAATATTTCAAACCAGCTGTAATTGAGATACACAATATCAATAATAAAACCAAAATTAAACCAATAAATAATACTTTATTTTGTTATAAGTACACTGTTATAACCTTTATATACAGATAATAAGTGTGTTAGATATCTTTTTAATATATACTGTATGAAATATCTGCAAAGTTTAGGTTTCAGAAAAAAACCGATCTTCAAACACATTCAAGTTTATACAGAACCCTCGGTCCACAAGTCAGACTCACACTTGACCAGTTTATATCTTTTGCAAATACTTTGTACAGTTATAAATGTGCGAGATATAAATAGCTGCTAAGTAATAATAATAATTATTATTTAATAACTTGTTTTTAAATAAAATCTGTCAACTCTATTTACCGGTACGTCAATATACCGGTACTGAGCTACACCAATTCGGTTTCAATAACTTGAAATTCTTTTATATTTCAATTGAAGCTTTTCTTTTCTACTAAAGACACAAGTCCCGTCTTTGGTAAGCGAATACCGGTGCGTACATAGTTCATAGGAGAATAGGGTGTAAAGTCAGTTTTAAGGAACATGCAAATCAAAAATTTTACCTGTCATATCTATGGCATCTTCCATGCCATCTGTCATCAATGTGGTGACGGATTAAGAATACGGAGTGTCACTACCCCTATTCATCCCGTGGATGTCATAAGAGGCGAATAAGCGGATGTCAGAAGCGGACACAGCCCTTCATACAATCTGTCAGATACAGTCAGACAGATCTGATCGTGGATCTCTATGAACCTATTTCTATCGCCCAACTGCAACTCAAGTCACAAGTTTGTTCAAGCATTCCCTGTTTGTGAAGCTGGAGAAGCTCTATTCTCGAAAGTTTAGAAGGTCGTATCAGTCCTGAACACAGCAAACAACAAATTGTTGCACAGATTGGTTGTGTGATACAAAAAAGTGAACCTGGCTTTAGTTTTAACTTTTATAACATTTTAACAATAAAATCATTGAAGTAGGAAATAACCCTTTTTTTAAATAACCTTAACTCGGCAATTGAAACCGTTGCCAAACTAAAATGAGTTCTCATACATTGTAATAAGGTGCATAATAGACTGCATTAATTAACTGTAGCCAACATACTCTCTTAAAGTATTTTTGTACAAGCTATTTTGAACTCTACTGCTGCTGTAGATGGTATTTTTTTCTAGTTTTTAATCAGATTGTGGTTTAAAGGTGAATATAACGCTACCCTTGTTAATATCAATTTATTTATCAATTTACATAGTAAATGATTATGGCAAACGCTCTCAAGAATGTTTGGAGAGTAAGAAGATAAATTGATATGAAGAAGAGAAGACTACGTTCTGAAGACTTCTAAAAGATTATTTGTTTTTAAATGTTTTGACCAGTTGGTTTTTTTTATGGTTATTTGCTCAGAACACATATCTACGACTCGATTTGTTTTTTTTATATATTTCGACATGGAAATCATTTTCCTTTGATATTTACTAAAAATTAAACTGTAATAAGAAAATAAAAAAGGATATATTCATTCCTTTTTTATTTTCTTATTACAGATTAATTTTTAATTTTGTTTAATTATAGTCTTATGGCACACTTTATATCAAATTATTTTAACCATACACAACTTTCTTTTATTGAAGGAGTCGAATATCCTTATGGACGTTCAGGCCTCCTCCACCTTTTGCTACTTGCATATATATATCACAGAAGAGTGCGAATTGTCATTGCCCATTATATTCTTTAACTATCCTGAGAGCCATTGGCCCGTCTACCCCAGGACGGGTCACGGCTATTAGTGCCCGAGAAGGCGTGCGGTTTTAGTCGGTTCGAGTCCGACATGCCACCGACAGGTGGTATCCGAGGGGATTTTCGCACGGAAACAAAAAAAAAAAAAAAGGACGGGTCTCGGAGCAACCCTCACTCGTCGAACACTGTGCAGTACTTCTTGGGATAGAAACCTTTTCTATTTAATGCTATGCTAAACATAACCATAGAGATAGCGATAGATAGAGAGTTATTGATATCACAGTCCCCATATAAGAAACATCCCTGTTCTACCACCTTTCATTTATTTTCCTTTCTTCACTTCATACCTGGATTTCTATTCAATATTGAACACCTAATTTTCCCATCTAAATCCTAAAGTACCGCTATTTTAAGTCTTGTTCCATATTAAAAAAGTGGGAAAGAAATTATAGCTGACGTAATGTGGGGGTTCCTTACGTCTCTGTCTCTCCCCTTCCAAAAGATGAGTTTATATATGTTGGTATAGCAAGCTTGAGAGCATCGGTAACCGCTTACCATTAGAAAATCTTGTGTATTTACGATTTTAGTAGTTTAAAACGATTCAAGTACGTTAAGTAACGTTTTTCTCGAACTACCCTCAAATAATTCTAATTATTATATTGAATATATCTTATAGTACAATTTATGCGGCGCATACGGTGTTCTCCAATGATCGCAGCTCCAATGTTACGTCGTTGGAATGCAACTCATTCACCAGTTCACGTAATCTGAAAACATTAGAAAATAATGTACACCAAGAATGTTTTTTTTTTTAACAAAAATCATCATCATCAACAGACTTAAATAGTCCACTGCTGGACATAGGCCTCTCCATAGAAAGGAGGTGTCGGTCTACTGTACCACGCTGGCGAGACGGGTTGGTAAAGGGTTTGTGCAAAGTTTTTATTTTCGTTGCAGTGCTGTCAGTCTCTTAGTCAGCTCTTACGACAGCCATGGGATGAATAGGGATTATGGCACTCCATTTACAAGAATACAACAAATTAATGATCATATACGATTCTTCGACATTCTAATTCTGCTACACAGCGATACGTATTACTCTAGCTGAGCCCCGAGGTGTTACCAACAGTTAATCAGTTCCTTACTCATCCCCATGGCAATACTACATTTTTCTGGACAAAAAGTAGCTTATGTGTTAATCCAGGGTGTCCATAACAAATTTTATCAAAATTGGCCCCGCCGTTTGAGCGTGAACAAGTAACAAACATACAAACTTTTATTAATCCTGCCTTACCAAATAAAGTATTATTGTATAAGTACGCTACCTGGCTAACTGAGAGGGCGTAACGAATATAGTTTCGTCTGCCTGAGCCTGCGCATGCGCCGGGTATGTGATAGTACCGATGTCCACTGACTTTGATGACAGCACCTGTAATTTTATAACATATTGGAGGTGATCTTTATGGAAGGTACGAAGCGAAATCGATAGCGAGCAGATTTGCCGCTTTGAATGTAAGTCAAAATTCTAAACTTCTTACAACATAAACATTTAAAATATTACCTGGAGACTGTGCCTTAAAGTGTAGGCTACCGATTTAAAAAAAAAAAAAGATGATTTTTGTAATATATACCAAAACACTGGCATTGAAAAAGTTAAAAAAAGTGTTCATTTTGCACCTTATAGCTTCATATTCAGACCATCAACACGAACCATACCAGCCCAAACTCTACGGGTTTACTGGTCGCCTGAAGTGTCTTCTAGTCACTCACCGTCTCTCTCGCAACTCAGAGAGCAATAAAAGAACTGTTTAACTAAGTGTACTCACAGCTGCTAATTCCGGTGCAGGAAACTCCGCGAAGTCAGCCTCAACGCACCGCCATGGGCGATGGACTAGGAGCTGTTCCTTCACCTCGGCTTGTAACGCTGCTAGACGAGTCTGGAAGTAAAAGATATTAGGTTATCCAAGGTGTTATAAGGTTGGGGAGGTGCAGGCTTCCATTGATTGCGGTGGTCACATTCCATCAGGTGATCCGTTTGCCCGTTTGTCCGTACATCATTTTGTAGTTCGTGATAATAGTTACTATATTAATCTTAGTTCATCATTTTTTAAGATATTTTAGCTATATATAACTATTAGCATTTGCCCGCGGCTCCGTCCGCGTATGCAGTAAATAGTAGCCCTTTCTAGTAGCATGTCCTTTCTCAAGGATCAAATTATGTCCATACCAAATTTCATCTCAATATGTTCAGCGGTTTAGGCGTGAAGATGTAACATAAAGACAGATAGACACGTTTTCACATTTATACTATTATATTATTATGGATAAACAGTTTTTTATATTAAAAAAGTATATCTTCGCCTTTTGATCATTATTTTTTTATTACATTGGCTTTACACAAAAATATAACTTAAATTTGAAGAAAATATTTTACCCCTATGATTGCAAAGTTAATATGGATGAACACTACAGCTTCTTACAATATATCATAATTCAACCTCAATGAAATCAGTGTTTTTATATTTTTTTTAAATATTTAAATGTCAAACAAGAGTAGAGAGGTAACCTGATAGTACTGCCATTAATAGACACCTGCAGCCCAGAATTAGGCCCCCCCCCCCCTCCCTCCCGTAGGTGGTGAGGTGGTGTCGGTAACGGTAACAGTGTAGCGAGTTTACTGGGTTTTTTTTTCAGATAAAATACTTTATTTTGTTTGTTGTTCTTAAATGACCAACGCACCTAAAGAAGTTCAGTTTCACTTCAACAATTAATTCAATATAATACATAAGTACGAAAGAGAAGTAAGTCTACCTCTAGCTGTCTTCTAATTTCTCTCTGCTTCTCCCTGTGCAGTTGTAAGGCGTGGGCATACTGCCCCGGCTCTGAAGGGAACTTTACCAGCCCTGACCGAGCCACGAATAGAGTCCATTCCTGAAATAGAAAGAGATTATCATGATATCAGATGTATGATATTTTGCTTCGATTTTGTCAATAAATACAGATAAACAATTCTTGATAAAATTGCTAATTTTTATCTAATGACTTGTTTCTGCGCGCAACTTCTCTCGCGTGGATTTCGGTAACCATGGTCTTTTTTTGTTAATATTAAAAAGTGAGTTATATCTACTTAGGATATTCTCAATTTACTGTATTTTACATTAATGTATCTCTGCTAGATAACGCGGCGTACGCATGTAAAGCTCCCACTAGGCAAATTTTTTTTCGACCTCTCGATCGTTATATTTCAGTCAATTTACATAAAAACATAATGAATTATACACCTAAAGCCTTCTTAGTAATCACACTATTTATTGGTGAAACCGTAAGAAAATCCATTTGGTAGTTTTTAAGTTTATCGCGTTCACACAGACAGACAGAGGCGGCCGAACTTTATTTTTTAAAATGTAAGGATGAACTTACTTACAATATATATCATCATCATCATCAACAGCCTTTAACAGTCCACTGCTGCACATAAGCCTCTCCTTAGAAAGGAGGTTTTGGCCTACTGTACCACACTGGCCAGACGGGTTGGTATAGGATTTGTGTCAAGTTTTCCTTCTCTCTGCAGTGCTGTTGTTCTGCGCAGTTTTTTCCCTTAGTCGGCTCTTACGACACCCACCGGATGAATAGGGGTGGTGACACTCTGTATTCTTAATCCGTCACCACACGGACCCAATATATATAGATATTCTTTCTTTTACTACTTCAAAAAACGATTTAGAAATAGGTACAGTGTATCATGGAAATACTCTCGAAAACGAAGACAGACGATAGTGCTAATGAAATCTTTGATGATGTGTCAGATTTCTTTTTTATTATAACCATTATTTAGCCACTCCACACGTACGGCAGTATTTTATCATTTCATCATCATCAGCCGTTAATAGTCCACTGTTGGACATAGGCCTCTAGTTAGTAAGGAGGTTTTGGCTTACTATACCACGGTTGGTTTAGGATTTATGTCAAGTTTTGCTTCCCTTTGCAGTGCTGTTGTCCTGCGTAGTTTGCTCCTTAGTCGGCTCTTACGACACCCACGGCATGAGTAGAGGTGGTGACGCAACGTTTTCTTCAGCCGTCACCACACGGACAATAAGTATTTGAGCTATTTAGATCCTGTAAGACAATCGTGATACTCACAGACTGTAACTTGGCTAGCTCTTTCTCCAGTGCAGCGGCAGCTTGTCGCCGTGCCTTGGCGGCGGGCGCACCGGGGTTCTCTAGCGGGCGCAAAGCGCGCAGCGCGAGCCTCTCCGCTTTGCGGCACGCTGTGATTCGGGCCGAACGCTCGCGGTCCACGGTCCTAGTAAGAAAAAAATGATTGTAAAAAAGGAACTCCAAGTCATAATGTACTGGTAGTTAAATTAGTCGCCTCACGACACCGCGGAACTTAGTGTTAGGGATGTGATCCACTAATGGTTCGTTTTGGAATTGGAGAGGGGGAATACCCCCCGTATTTTATAAAAGTAACGAAAAAATTGCTTAATATCAGTTGTCTCGCCTTTTGAAGACTTTTGGACATTTCTCACAAATTGTATTTTGTAGGTTCTCTTTAATTCTGAGGGTTCTATCAGACTCACCAACTGAGCATCTTGATTTGATGCTGAAGAGCTTCATTGACCTCTCCCGAAGACACTCCAGGTGTAACTTTGACTGGTGTTTCCTCTGTATTTCAAAACAGTATATCAAACACTACACAATAAGATGTAGAAAATATTATGAAATGAATGTAAAAGATCAAAGTAAAGGTAAAGTAAAGGTTATTCCAATATAAACTCAGGTAATTCCTATTTCTTAAATGTTTATAGGAATGTTAAGTTGGTTTGTGTACGCTTCAAAAATTCAAAAAGTTCTACACCAATTGAGCTCAAAGTTTGACAGGATATACAACACGCTTCGAAGATTCATTTATATATATTTTGTTGCGTCCGTTAAGGTTCTTATTCCTCATTAATGCAACTACAATGTGCCACAGCGAAGCTTGGCAGGATAAGCTAGTTTTTTTTTAAAGTCCATTTGAGTACATTTGTGACACGGCTTGTGACGTCACTGTTCGCTATTTTCAAATCGATTACTATTAGTACGTATTTTTATATTTATTCTGACATTTCAATTCTATGACAGACCTGTTGAACTAGTGACCCAAATTGCTAAGCTAGAGGTGGTGGGTTCCATGCCTACCCAGGACTTGAAGCGTACACAAACCAACTTACCATTTTTGAATATATATTTAGATTATGAGTCAAGGCTTGAATTTAAAACATTCACGATAATTCTTCATTAATTTGATCTTTTACCAGGCACGATTAACATTGAGCATATAGCATTCATGGCATTATACACTGAAAAGCACTATTTAGGTTATATAAAGTTATAGGTATATTAAATTATGGTGTCACCCTTACATAGCCGCATTTATTGATATCAAAAATCTTCATGAAAAATTTACCGACTCCAACAAAATCCATTCTTTAAAAATTAAACTTACTAAAATAGTTTTTACGAAAAAAAGTCTGCCTGTTCTAAATTCCATTACGTTATTTAACTAAATTATTATATTTACTCTTAACACAAATTTTAGACAGATACATTTTCTAATAATAGTATCTATCTATATTTAAGACGCCCAAGGTTTACCTACATACGAATCATATTATTTTATCACTGCTGTAACTGAAAACCTGCTATATAGCGTAATTTCTTAAATTCAATCATCATCAACAGTCTTTAACAGTCCACTGCTGTACATAGGCGTGTCCTTAGAAAGGAGGTTTGGCTTACTATACCACGCTGGCCAGACGGGTTGGTATAGGGTTTATGTCAAGTTTTCCTTCTCTCTGCAGTGCTGTTGTTCTGTGTAGTTTACACCCTTGGTCGGCTCTTACGACACACACGGGATGAATAGGGTGGTGACACTCTGTATTCTGAATACGTCACCACACGAAACACCACATTTATTAACAGTAAGATAAAATTAGAAAATAATTACGTCATCAACAACAGTGACGTCATCACATCACATCACAGCGGCTAAGTCAGGGCTCACCCTAAGGCCTGTATTAATAAACCATACACACTTTTTGTTAAAAAAATATAAACTAATACTGATTATTTCTAAAAATTAACATTAAATCTTCGACTGGGGGTTTGATTTATTAACACAGGCACCATATCACAGTAACACCATTGTTTTAACACAATTTAATAGAAATTAAATAAAATTAAATATGTGTTACATACAACCATGCGCATACAAGACATTAAAATATCAAATTAATAAAAATTAAAAAGAAATTAGTTACGTCAATAGAGTCATCCGTATGCTCGAGTTTTATTTAAATAAAATCTAAATAATATTTAACTCTTTCTTTTTGACATAATATCATATTTATTGTGGGTTGTATATCAAAATTTCGAATTCATTGTTACTGGATGATACTCACAAATATTGAAAAAAAAACAAGAGTTAAAACACAATATGGTCTTTAAAGTAAAAAAAAAGGATTTCACATTTTGAAACAAGAAGTGTCAAATGAGATCCTAGTTTCTAAATAAGAATTTCCCATTTTAAATGTTGTTTTAAAATGGGAAGTTCTTTTCTAGTTGTTGATCAAGTTTTAAAAACAGAACTTTAAATTTTTGCAATGACATTTTAAACGTCAAATATTTTATTTAAATTTTGAATAAAGATTTTTGGTTTCAAAATAAGGCGTTACGTTGAAATGCACTTCTTTTAAACTATTTGATGACCAAACTTGACTTTAAGATTTGTGATCATTTTGATATAACCCTTTTTTATTAGCATTTTTTTTGTAAACACATAAAAAACTCGAGCTTACTACGCACTCTTAGATTTTATATTTTTGCATTGGAGCGCATTCCCTTTACTTAATAAATAATAAAATTATATAAAAAATATTTTTTGAGCCTGAATTGCTTTAAAATGTTAGTTACGAGTAATTAATAGGTTAGATTATTATGTTATTCACAATTATTTATGTATCTCTAGCAAATTAATACGATAATAATAAAATTTAACAAACAATTGTACAGATGGCGTAGTGGTTTACACGGTCGCCACGAGGCTTAGTATTGCGCTGAGTGTTGTAGGTCCGAGCCCCACATGGGACGACACTTTGTAAAGTCCCCCGAGACACAGGGTATATACCTAATGCGGGTATATACCCTGTGTCTCGCGGGCGGCAATTTTTTTTTACTCTGTGTCTAAAAAGGAATAAATGTTCCCTGTTTTTGCAACATTTGTCATTAATTCTCAGTTGGTTGGTCTCGGCGTGATGTTACATAGCTTGTGGCTATTGTATACCTTGTATCCTCGAGAAATGGGTTATCCAACACTCAAAGAATTTTTCAATTCGAACCAGTAGCGCCTGACATATTTAACTGGTCACTGAGAGGTTACCAATTTAAAATCTGTCGTGAAGATGAGTTTTATTTACGTAAAATCTCCTCCACGACGTTTGTTACTTTTTCACAGTCGAAACTGCACTTTTATTAAGCAGAAAAAACTGCGAAACTACCGACTACTAGTAAATCCTATTTAATAAAAAGTAAAACCAGAAAAAGTTTTACGAGTTTCGTAACATCCTGTACTAACATTCGTTTAGTTAGTTAATTTTATTGATTAATTGTTAACTACAATTCAGGCTCAAAAAAACACCCTAAAAAATTACGACAGAAAAAAAGGCGTAATTTAATTAATAAAAGAAAACAACTAAAGGCCACTATACACCGAACGATACTATTTATATCTTACGGATAGCTTCTTTAGGCGGGGCCACAGTCGTAGCGACAGCTAAAATATTTATTTTATATTAAGATCACTATAAATGTTGACACATAAAATCGTCAATGGGTTTTAATAATACATATGTATTTATATATCTTCACATTTAGTTACATTAAAAGGTGCGAGAATATTTAAACAAACATCTTTTCATTTGAAAAACAGTATAACCGACTTCAAAATGACCAAATCACGTAAAAGTTCAAAGAAAGTGTATAACTGCATTCTTTAATTTGCCGCGCTTAGACAGAATATACGAGGGGTGATCAATAAGTAATGATAATCGAGTATTTCTAGAACGCACAAAAACCCAAATTTTTTTTTTTCTGCTTGCTTATATATCCACTACTTCAGCTTCAAAAAAATGTATAAATAGGACACCATTACCGGGAGATACATTCATTTGAATACGAACTGTCGAAGAGAAAACATCAAAATGGAGAAAAATGAAATAAGAGCTGTCATCAAGTACCTCTGCCTGAAAAAAATGTCTACCAAAGACATACACAGCGACTTAGAGGAAACATTGGAGGAGTCTGCTCCTCCATATTCCACAGTCGCACGCTGGGCAAAGGAATTTAAGCTGGGCAGAACCTCCACTGAAGATGAACATCGCGAGGGACGCCCTTCCACGTCCCTTACTGGAGAAAACGTCAAAAAAGTGGAAGATATCGTGTTGGCCGATCGAAGGGTGACCGTAAGGCATGTAGCTGAGGTCACAGGGATCTCCTATGGCAGCGTTCAAAAAATCATTGTCAACAAAATGCATATGAAAAAGGTCTCTACGCGTTGGGTACCGAGAATGTTAACCGACGAGCAAAAAAAGAAACGAGTCGACATTTCGAGGGTGAATCTTCAAAAGTTCCAGGCCGATAAAGAATTTTTTTTGTCGCGTTTTGTGACCATGGACGAGACGTGGATCCGCCACTTTGATCCCGAAACCAAACAACAATCAATGACTTGGAAACGAGCTTCCTCACCAACGCCGAAGAAATTCAAAGTGTCAAGTTCAGCGGGAAAAGTTTATGGCGTCTGTTTTCTGGGATGCAGAAGGAATTATTATGGTGGAATATTTGGAAAAGGGGGCCACTATAACCGGCTCTTACTACGCAGGCCAAATAAGAAGATTGCGAGAAGCTATTAAGTCAAAAAGACGCGGTAAACTGCGCGCTGGAGTGCTGTTTCACCAACACAACGCCCCGGCTCACAAAGCCGCAGTTGCGACGGCTGCCATTGAAGAAACGGGGTTCGAACTGCTCGAACACCCTCCCTATTCGCCAGATCTAGCTCCCAGTGACTTCTACCTCTTTCCTCGGCTCAAAGAACACCTCCGGGGCAACAAATTGGAGGACAATAGTGAAGTGATGGCCGCAGTGGAGGCATTTTGGGAGGGTCAAGACAAAGAATTTTTTTCTAAGGGAATCATGGGCTTAGAAAAAAGATACACTAAATGTATTAACTTGCAAGGAGACTATGTTGAAAAATAAAATACTTTTTTTAATCTAATAGTTCTGTTTCATATTGATTATCATTACTTATTGATCACCCCTCGTAGGTTTTTCTTTGTTTATTTAAATCAAATAAAAACATAAGTATGCAATATAATAAATATCGCTAACAGACACACAGAAATTTTACAAAATTCTGTCTGTTAATAATGAACTTTCAAAAAAAATTACACGACTTCAATGCGCCAACATCTTGTTTTCTTTATGGCACAGGAGGGCCTACGAGCAGACGGGTCACCTGATAGTAAGTGACTACCACCGCCCAGGGACAACTGAGACTCAAAAGTCACAAGTTCGTTGTCAACTGTGGAGTCTCCTCTTTCCACTCAGTGGAAGGGGAGGGGAAAGTTGGGCTTAAGAGGGGGCATTTTTATTTTTATTTTATGGGGACCTAACAGAGAGTATTCACAACACAACATTTCACACAAATGAAAAAAAAAGCCTTATCAGCTCATAAATGACAGAGTTCTTTATTTTAATGCCAAAAAAACCGAATTGAGAATCTTCTCTTTTTTTGAAGTCGGTTAAAAAGCGTGAAGACGTCAAGTTACGGACACATAACATATTAAGTAACAGTTGAGGGTTGTACGTAAAGGGAATGCATGCGACTTTGAAGCTCTTACTATTGTAGGCTCGGACCGCCGGCGGCACCACAGCTGCACGCACACACAAACTCTTATGTAGTACCCTCTTAGAGGCATTGGTCTCACTGTGAGCGAGGAAGCGTTTAGCGATTGACTTAGATTTCTTTTTATAGTATAGGGTATGGTAACTACTGACGCCCACGGAGACTTGCAGTGCTATTCTCTAAGGAAACAACAACAAGCCACAGCGGCTAACTTCAAACGAAATTCGTTTGAAAATTGACGCTACAGAGCTGTCACAGCGTCGAATTTCAAACTTAGGCTGTTTCCTTAGAGAATAGCACTGCCGTAACTCAAGAGTCACAAGGCGTTGCCAGTTGATAAAAATCTTTGGAGTTATTGATAATCATGGTGGTAAGGTTTCTTTTTAGTTAAACTTTAATAGATATATAATCTTTCATAGACATTCACAATTATAAATGAACTCTTTAGAAAGTCTCAAGAATAGTATTGTTTTAAAATCTGTTGAAATACATAGAAAACATCAATCAAATGGGCGGTAGTGGCCACTGCGTCGAATTTGCGATAAAATGGTTGCAGGTTTAAATCCCAACTTGAATCCCTCCTAACAAGCATTTAAGCTTAACTGGAGGGGAGAAACCACATTGCGGGTATGTGTTTTTTGTAAAAATTATCTTAACTAATAGTTTAGAACATTTAAAGTCAACTCGCTCAATCGCTTCTCGCTGTCAGTGAGACATTTTCCTATATTAGAACAGGTCTTCCAATACACAACATATGAATGTAAAATATTTAATATTTATTTTACATTATTGTGTATTGGAAGAACTTCCTGTGACAAAACAACATGTAATTAAAAAAAAAACGCTGTAAGAAGACTTGAAGAGATGTCATTGATGTTACCATAACCATAAGTGTTATATGCAGTTTTTAAATTTTCTTATAAGAGACAAGTAAGAAAGCTCGTATTACGCTATACGCTTTATACTTCATGATTTTGTTAATCGCATATATAATTTAACCATGAAAAATGACGTTGAATTATGAAAACCAGATTATTATTAAAAGCTGCACTCTAGGAGACGTGAGGGGTTCCTGACAGACAGGACCTTCCATATATCATCGGCAGACCGCCATACTAAACTGTCGTAGTTAATTAACATCCAATATTGACTGTAATGTGATTATATCTTATTGTGACCGAAAGTTGAATCGGTATTCTCGGTAAATTAAATTTTGAACAATTTTTTATTACGAGAATTGACCTTCGGGTCATAAGACCCGCTGACAGAACACTGTGTATTTAGTCAGGTAAAGCCTGACATACCACCTTGTTTTTTGACCCCGACAAGGCGAGAGTTGTCACAAAAAGAATTATAGAATCCGTTTTTTTATTTCGGTATAAATGGTTATTAAACAAGTCTGAGTCTGATGCAAGTAAAATTTAGAAGTACATTGCCTGTTATGATCAAATATTGGTATTGAGTTTGGTATTTTAATATCTAACCAGCAATGTATATTCAATTTTCGTTGCACTTTTGATAAAAAAATTCATGGATGATGAACACAAAAGGTATATTATTATAATAATAAATGAAAATTAGATAGCTCAAGAAAAGAATTAAGAAAGAGATCACTGTTAATTCTTTCTTTAAAATAGTTGTGATGTGTTTGTTAAAATGGTATTGAGAAAATAAAACTGTTATACATTCTCTGTTAGAAATAGAACATTGAACATGTGACTGAGCAGTTGTGGAATCCAGTCATTATGATAGATTTATACAAAACTAGATAAAAATGGTATTACCAGTTACCAATCTGCTAATCCTATAATGTGAGAACCTCATACTCTTTAAATGATCACTGTATAACTTAACCACTTCATCTACTATACGTTTGCTATATTAAAAAATAATATGGAGTGATAAGTAGCAAAGTATATGGTATTATTAGTTGAGAAAACTTAATAAATAAAAGAAAAGGAGAATAATTATTTTGTAGAATCCAATGGTAAATAACTTTCTATGTTCTTATTACAAAAGCATTATACATTCTTTTTAAAAAATATGTTTGGATTCCACAACTACCCAGCAACATAATTAATACGTGTCCCGAAGCATTAGTGGAATCCAGTTTATTGCAGGGTATTCTTTATCCAAATACCTAGTCTCGTCAATACGACATATTTTTTATTATTAATGTATAGTAAATATGTCTTTTACAATAATATAACGCATATTATAAGTTTCTAAAATATGATATTTCTTATGAATTAACATGAATGGAATTAACAAAATGAAGCCTATTCTCATAATAACAGGATTCCTTTTCCCCATGTTAATAGTTTTTAGTTCAATATCCATTTGTAACATGCAAACAAACTCAACTTACTTAAGAACTCCAAATCTAGAAGAAAAAATAACATATGATAAAATCATAAAAACAAAAAACAATTTGAAAAATATGGGGGGGGGGAGGGGAACTTCACAAACACATCTAAGCGAGGATGGGAAAAACTGGTTGGTTACCGTATTCTAAAACAGTGTTGTTTGCGACCAAAAAATTAATCATTAATATGACGTAACATTTTAAAAGGAAAAATGTTCATTTTTCTGTTTCTGTTGTAACTTCATCAGATCAATATAAAAAACCCGTGAATTACAATCGTATCGGTCAATGTGACAATAATATAGTCCCTTGAAGTTGGATCTTTCGGCCCTGTAACCGAAGTTGGATCTTTCGGCCCTGTAACCGAAGTTGGATCTTTTGTCCCTATAATCGAAGTTGAACCGACAGAATTGTCAAACTTATTTAACAAGCGCCCGTAGTTGAAACAAAAGCTGGTGGGTATTGATACAAATTCTATATTTTCCGGTGGTTCTGACACCATCTATAGCCAGTTGAATGTACTCAGAATATATTTATAAAGATCCTGTAACTTAAAATGGTAAAAAACATACCGTGATGAGTTCCACCTCTCTTAGCTTGGAATAGCTTCAGTTTCTCTCTTAAAGCACCACGTTCAGTCTCCAATGAATCGATATCTTGTTGTAGATGATCCATTGTCTCTTCGAACTCTTTCTCTTTTCTGTAAGTGGAATTGAAAATCTGAATGACTGTGTTCATACTCTTTAGGTACAATAAAAATTTAATTATATAATGATAATAATTATTTAAGAGAATTAAAACTTGAAACAAACCCTATACCAACCCGTCTGGCCAGCGTAGTATAGTAGGCCAAATCTCCTCTCTAAGGAGAGGCCTATGTCCAGCTGTGGACTATTATAGGCTGTTGATGATGATGATGAATAATAATTTGACACATCTCACACACGGCCGTGTCATCCCAATCTAGGCAGAGCCTGTGCCATGGTAACCAGATGATTGATAAATATACTTAAATATTTCTAAGTACATACATATTATGGATAAATCACACCCAGACACAGAACAAAACGTGGCCATCACATAATTATTTGTCCTGCGTGGAGATGCACTCCACGAACTCCGGGTTAGCAATCAGGTTTAGTAACTAGACCTAAGATTTAAGTGAGTGGTTTTTAGTTAAAAAATGAATACAATTTGGTCAAAAAAGGAAAAACGTTGAGCTAACCTCTTGAGTTGATTATGAGCATCTTCCAAACGTCTCTGCAACTGTTCCGCGCGCAGTTCCGCATCACGAGCTGTGGTGGACAGCTTCTTCTCGCCGAGCTCCCGGCGGATCTGCATTTCTGATAGCTCTTCTTGTTTTGCCTAGAAATCAAAGCGAATAAATTATCAACTAGCTGTACCCTGCCACGATTCGATATGGTCATTATGACTGTATTTCTGAGGAAAAATAGGAAAAAAAACAATCTCTAACGCGGGTTGTATATAGTGTCAAAATTTGAACTCATTTGGTGCAGAACTTTTTGAGTTTTTGAAGCGTTCACAAGCCAATTTAACAGATATATATATATATATATGGACAAAGAATTTTGAATTACATTACTGAAGTTAGAACTGATGAAGAAAAAGGCAATGGACAGTTACAATTGCCTCTTTCTTCATCAGTTCATCATCAAGGTATACCAATACCTTGAGTGTCTTCTTCAGCTCTCTGATGTCAGCCTCTTTGTTCTCCAATTTGATGGTGAGGCTCTTAGTTTCTTCCAATTGCTTCTTCACCAGTTGGGCACGAATGACTACTGGCGGTGTTGGCTGCAAAAAGCGATAACTATATTAATATGTGTCCCATAACCCATGGGAGCATCACAGTCTGGTTGAAGAATTGAAACAATGGTAGCTGGAAAACTTTTGTCACCAGCAAAGTTAAATTAATCTATTTATGAAGCGCCTACATGACTTTTTAGCTAAAAATGCTACTATGCAATAAGAGGAAAATAAAAATTATTTTGCATTATTACTACTTCAAATGATCTCGTATTATTGTTACTTAATTAAATAATTTTATTTTTAACTTAAAGTATAAATTTTCAAGTTTCCACTTTCGTCGGCATCACCGGTTTTTTTGAAAGTACTAGCAGCAGTCATGGCGACGGATTACGTCATGGTAAGTGACTACCACCGCCTATAGAAACTTACAACAGTACCTTACAACCTCAGTTATTTTGTGAAAAGCAATGACCTGCTAACATCAGTTTTCTGAAAGACGCTAATATCACTCTGGTCGAACTGACCGATGTGTAAGGCATAGAAAAGTCTGTTTTTATTATTATGATATTATTTAGAATTACCTTATCAGATTGTACATTGGTGAGCGACATTATATCGTACTCCTTGTCTTGAGTGAAGATAGCCAACTTGGTGACGTCACTCGACACTTGAGACAGCGAATGTTTGATGGTGCGTACTGGACCGTGGTCATCCTAAAATTAATTTGTGTATATAGTTGCTATATTAACAAACGGTCAGAGGCTCTAACCTCGAGGACATCAGAGGTAAAAATTTGGTCTTTCGAACCGATGACCGTTGATAACTTATCGACGGTCCGCCATAAGGAATGTAACTTTTATAACTCAAGTCTAGGAAAGACAATAGCATATTTCTGCTCGAATGGTAGCCGATCAAATAAGAAACGACCAAAGCGGGGTGCAAGAAGTTTATATATATTTTTATTTCCGTGATGCCTGACACATAAGAACAGGCCACTCGGTTAGTGTAATAACCTAAAAACGTTTCGTAGAGTGAGCGATACCGACCTGCTGATACACCTTATCCACAGCGGCAGACCAGAGTTGCAGCAAGGTGGCGTGCGGGAGGGGCGCGCCGTCCCCGCGCTCGCCGGCCGTGGCGGCGCACGCGCACGCCGCTCGAGCGGCCAACGACGTCGCGCGCGCGCAGCGCCACAGAGACGATGCGCATTCGCCGCGCACGCGTTCCACTAGCTGTTGGGAGACAGGCGAGTCGTGTTTCGATCTGAGTCTAACTTCCCATATGGTTGATAGTATAATGTAATTTACTCAGATATCATTTATAAGAGATTTCTTGCTTAAATGTGAATTGTTTTAATATAAGAACAAAAATACAACAATAAAAAATATAGATTATATTTATTCAGTGTTTTACACATTTAAGGAAGAGTACTACAGGGACCTATAGTAGGGCCTGTTAATTTTTTTGTACATCTTTTTACAATCCTATTAAAATATATCAAATTTAGAACATTATAAATAGTAAATTAACTCCACTTTTATTGGGTAATGTATAGAAATTATTTATTATCGGTGGTGTCGAGTATACCTGAGGATCCAATACAGTCTGCAGCATCACACCGGACGGTAATTTCCTTCTTACGCTCTTGATCTGCTGCTGAAGCGTTGCGGCGGCTGTACAGATCGTTTCGTGGAGTTGACCCAAATCTTGTGTACGTTCCGATTGCTATTTATAAGAAAAACTTTGAATGATACGTCACAAATGACATTAGAAATGGAGCATCACTCCGATCGAGCCCACGTGTGGCTCTGCCAGGGTTACCAATAACCAAACGACATTTCCAGTGAAATACCTGTAATATATGCGTGAGCGCGGTCGCGTCGGCGTGCAGCGCGCGCGCGAGCGCGTCGAGCGCGCCGCACGCGTGCTGCAGCGGGCCGCACGCCACGCCGCCCTCGCCCGCCGCCGCGCCCAGGCTCAGCGCCGACCACATCGCGCACAGGTACGTCCACACGCGCTCCACGCCTGCACACCACACCGCACGTACGTAGTACAATAATAGCGTAAGATAACGACACGTTTGAAGAAATACTAACTCTAGCGTTGAATCGATAAGGTTCAATCTTGATCGCATTATGTATCACTAATTATATTCCCCCGTTTGCCTGATCGTTAAATGATAACTCGATGTAATAGGTTCATTGCAAATACGATTTTATGGATAGTTCAACTCAGTTGTGCGCGCGGCCCTATGTGTGCGTGGGCTTGTACATATACAACTTTCATTCGTGTGGCAGTGACGCGGCAGTCGTCGTCCGAGCAAGACGTGTTCTTATCGCTTTTTCTTAAGGGTACAGTCGTTTACGAAAATGTCTAGTTCTTCACGGAGAAAATGTTTAAGGAGTCAGGTAAATATTTTTTTAAATTTAGATGTAATTAATATTTTTTATGATTCTATATACGAAAAAATATATCCTTGTTGACGTTTACGTATTATTGTTTTAGACTCGAGAAACCATTGCTAAGGTATACGAATTTCTGAAAATAGATGCGAGAGATATATTCGAACTAGTAAGTGATCAAGTTTGCAGTGCAAGTCCAATTTTAATATCGAAATTAAGTAAACATTTAAATAGCGTACGGAAAAGAACAGCAATGGCAGTATCAGAGAGAACAATTACTAATATATTGGCTGAAGGAAAAGAATCTGACTCTAAATTTAAATCTCCGCATAAAGACCGTAAAAAACGTTTAAAAAAGTTAGAATTAGACAACTTTAACGTTGATGTTATACGTTCCACTATTCAAAATTACCATTTAGAACATCGCGAGTTACCTACCTTGCTAAAGTTGAAAAGAATATTTCAAGATAAACTTAACTATGATGGAAGTATTTCGACTCTGCGTACAGCTTTGTTAAAGTTGGGATACAAATGGCGAAAAACTGTGGATAACAGACGTGTTATTATAGAGCGGCATGACATCCAAAAACTACGATTTTCCTACCTAAAAAATTAACTCAGATACCGTCAAGAAAATCGGTGTATCGTATATACAGATGAGAGATACATCTTAACTAATCATGTGCGAAACAAAAGGATGGGGTAATAAAGATGGACCACCTTTAAAGAGAAACCTGTCGAAAGGACAAAGAATTATAATTGTGCATGCTGGTTCAGAACAAGGTTTCGTACCTAACGCACTATTGACATACAAAGCAAATAGTGTTTCTGGTGATTACCACTCTAACATGAACGCAGAAAACTATGAAAAGTGGCTAAAAGAACGTCTGGTACCGAATCTTCCACCTAACTCTGTGGTTGTGCTTGATAATGCCTCATAAAATAACGTTCAAAATGACAGAGCCCCAAATTCTAATTCCAAACAAATAGAAATGCAGAGATGGCTGACAGAAAAAAATATAGCTTTTAATCAAGATATGAAAAAAATTGAACTGAAAAGAAAAATATATCTGTTACAAGATTGACGACATACTTCAGCCATAAGGCATAAAAATTCTTCAACTGCCACCATATCATCCTGAACTAAACCCCATAGAAAATGTGTGGGGAATTTTAAAGAATTATATTGCTTCGCATAATGTCGACCAAAATGTGACGGAAATAATGAAACTCATAAATGAACGTTTAAGTCAAATTGATGAAGGGATGTGGGGTAATACTTGTCGACATGTACAAAAGAAAGAAGAAGAGTATTATAGACATTTTGACATGGAGTCAGAATTCATAATTAACCTTGGTGAGAGCAGCGAATCCGAAAATTCATCATTTGATTTTTCAAGTAGCGATTCAGAATAATGTTCAATAAATAAACATTATATTACGAAATAACTCTTTTTAAAAAAAACCCGTATATAACCCGTAAATAACTATATTTGTATTTGTACGACTGTACCTCTTGTCACGCACACAAAGTCACTGTATATGTACAAGGTTTACCCACACATAGGGCCGCGCGCACATCTGATTTGAACTATCTATAATAACGTACACATTTGGTTGTTTTTTTGGTTACACGTCAATGTTATTTGTAATTTTCTTTTCAAATGTAAAATGTCATTTTGACAAACATCTAAATTTGTTTGTGCATTGTATGCGATCGATTTTGATTTAAATCGGTCTCGGATTTAGGAAGTCGAAACTTGTCCAGACAGTCATCTTCAATTACAGTCTAATCCTATTATGAGAAAAAAAATCAGAAAATAGACGGCACAGTAGCAGCGACGTCGACAAACTTAATTTAAAAATCTGCCACCTTACAATAGTTTTGTTGACGGCAAAGGGTCTCGAAAGGTATCTCAACAGTACTCCGAAGAGAGAAGAGTAGTGAGTAGAGAGGCACTGACCGTCGAGCGAGCAGTTCTCGTCGAGCTCGTTGCCCTTGAGCAGGTGCGCGAGCGCGTCGAGCGCGCGCTCCTGCTGCGCGGCGTCGGGCAGCGCGCTGGCGCAGCGCAGCAGCAGCGCCGGCGTGCACGACTCCAGCGCCGCGCTCCACATGCTCACGAAGCACTACACACATAAAACGTTTACATGTCGACACCCACGCCACGTCTCTTCAACAGCCTTTAACAGTCCACCGCTAAACCTAGGGCTCTCCTTAGAAAGGAGGTTTCGACCTACTATACCTCGCCGGCCAGAGGGGTCGGTATAGGGTTTGCTTCAAGTTTTCCTTCTCTTTTTGCAATGCTGATGTACTGCGTAGTTTGTTCCCTTAGTCGGCTCTTACGACACCCACGCGATGAATAAGGCTAATGACACTCCGTATTCTCAATCGGAAAAGTAAAATAAGTGTACTTTAACATGTGGAGGAATGGGCGTTACCCCTCCTTCTACCAGGCGAGGTGACCATGCCTAGCAGCCCGACAGTTGAAGTTAGGAAATTGTATATAATGCTAATCGGAAATAACTTTTTATATCACGATGCAGGATTAACAATTACTAAGTAATACGGTATGTCTTCGATAGATGGCACTTAATTATGATATTGTTTCTTACTGTATGTGGAAGTCGACTCAAACAATTCCACAATATGTACGTCTTTAGAGATAATATAGTTCACGTAAGATCCATAATGTTTTGTGTCCGTGATGCTACCCTGTCTATAGCCTATTTTAACTTCATTTTTTTTTAAAGAACGCCCGCATTAGGAATATGCATTCCTGTGTCGCAGGGGAAGTCACAAACATACATGAAACGGACACAAAGAACACCCAGACTCAGAACAACAATTTGTGATTCACACAAAGTGTCGTCCCATGCGGGGTTTGAACCTACAACACTCTGCGTAGTAGGAAGCGGCGTGGCGACCACTTAAACCACTACGCCATCCGTGCATCCTTGTAATCCATGTGCAGCCATGGTACTTGTCTCCCGGTTTGATAAGGAGGAAAATGTATTTATTTTATTTCCAACTCCTCCAGTTTACTTTCTTTGAGGGTTCCAAGGCAGTTTAACTTTTTCTGAGACTTCCCGAGTGTCATTTAAAATCTTACGTATTGAATTGTCGCTGATACTATAAAATATTTAATAAATATCGGAAAATTTTATAAAATCTTATCGAATAACACTTACTTGTATCATTTGTAATTGGTATTCCAGCTGGCAACGGAAGCTATACTGGACCGCTGTGTGGGTCTTCGTTACCACTTCTCTATCCCAAACGTTCACTGGTGGGAACCTTGAGGAAAAGATAGCATTATAAGACAGGTCCCTAACGAATAAAATTGTTAATTGAATGCAGCCTTTTAACACCATGAGAATTTCTCGAAAATGTATTCTTTTCTTCTGAATAATTTAATTAACCAAGATTGACCAAGAGTTAAACTACACATAACATCAATAACCTTCAACAGTCCACTGCTGGACATAGGCCTCTCTTTAAAAAGGAGGTTTTGACCTACTATACCACGCTGGCCAGACGGGTTGGTATACAGTTTGTTTCAAGTTTTCCTTCTCTTGGCAGTACTGTTGTCCTGCGTAGTTTGCTCCCTAAGTCGTCTCTTACGACACCCACGGGATGAACAGCAGTGGTTGACACTCCGTATTCTTAATCCGTCACCACACGGACAATTAAACTACAACTACAATTAAATTACAAAATAATTACAATATAATTAAAAAGTTATTCACAATTTAACGTGTAACGTTATTAAAAAAACCCTCACCTCTCTCGAATTTGTCCAAGTATGATCTCAGCCTTCGTTTTCAACCGCTGCAGTAATAATATCAGAAGTATTGCGTCGTGATCGCCTAAAATTTAATAATATTTAATCTATCTATCTATGTATATATAAGAGATTTCCACGTATATAGTCACTCATCACGATATCTCTGGAACCATTAGAGCTAAAGACTTGAAATTTGGTAGGAATATTCTTTTCACCGAGTAGAGGTCAGCTAAGAACGCATTTTACGAAATTCCACCCCCCAGAGGGCTTTGCGGGGTCGTTGAAAATTAAAAAAAATGTTTGGCAAAACAACGTTTGCAGGGTCAGCTAGTATTACATACATGTTATAGATAAATTACATCCAGACACAGAACAAATTATCTTGCTCATCACACAATTACTTGTCCTGGTAGGAATCAAACCCACAACCTTTTGCTTAGAAGTCAGGTTCATTAGAACAATAGCCCATCTTATAAGAAGGTTAAACAGTTATTTTTTTTATTCAATACTCCTCTTCAAAACTTCTACATGTCTTTCATATACCTTGAACTGTCATAGTACAAAAAGTCTATACAAAGCCAGCTCAACTTACACTAGTGTTCCAAATAAAACAAAACATTAAAAATTCAATCAAGTTAGTGAATTTAGTTTGAAATTCGACCACCAGGGCCTATTCCGCTATTTTATGTTAACGTACAAGCCACTGTCATTCCATTGATACGCTATAAAGATTCCATCGACACCGGTCAAAATATCCGTATTCCACTAACATAAATTCACGGTGTCAATAGACTGTCGATGTAGTGGCAGTGGCTCTTCAATTTTGATATTAACAAAATTGACATATCTGGCAAAAGTAATATATAATTACCTTACAAAGAACAATGGCAGAAACATATTTACCTAAAACTGAAGCGTTTAAAAAATTGACTAATACTAAACTTACTAAATATTTTTTCTATGATTTATCATTATACCGCCATGTGTTGTATAAGTCTAATAAGAGATTGGATATTTTTAAAGATTTTATTTGACCTAAGTACGTAATGTCAGAATCGCCATCACGAACTGACTAGGGATGCGTGATGATATTATTATATTATGGAACGTTTTATCGATAATCGATATCTATCGAAGGTTCACCTATTATGATTATGAATTTGCTTCTGCCCACGGGTTTACTCATACGCTACCGTAACTAGTACTGTAATGACTAAATCAACCTAATTAGAAATAATTTAGAATATTTTTGACTCTTTTTAAAAGATTTTTGCTACACCAAAATAAATAGAATATAGTTACGTTATTTTCCTACAGAAAAATACTAAAACAATATACTGTTTAGTGTGATGAGAAAAAGACATTGTAGGTTGATAACGGCACATAAATAGACATATATCGATATTTTTAAAATGTCGATTCGTCGTCGTCGCACTTACTAGTCTTGTCGTTTGACACTTACACGCATGACTTACATTCCATTTCTCACAAGGCAATTGTAGTTTATTTGGTTGTTTCACTTTTGTTTAGTATTAAACTCTCATATATGTTTATTTTAATTTTAATTTCATATAGTGTTACTCCAATATGCATGATGTGATGCCTTAAAATGTTGTGCATTAATCTCAATAAAATGGATGCATGCTTTTAGTAAATAATGTCACAACTACTGACTGTTGAATAACTAAATAAATAAATAAATGCTCCCGCCTTGTTTAAATGTGTATTGAAGTACATTTATTCAAATTATTATTATTAATTTATTTATTTATAGCTAGTATTACACCTGCTATGTAAGCGAAGATTTTTTCTATTGTTTACCAATAGATGCCAAGCAAATACCCTTCTTTCCTTCACCCATTTAGAGAGTCGGCTAACACTTTCTACAGCAAAATATGTATTGGTTGCTGGGTTGGGTTGCTTATAAGTAATAATAATGATGAATAATATTTTCGAATATTTGACACAGAAACGCCATCTAGTTTCAAACAAAACATTGACAATATTTTAGTACTTAACCTCGAAACATTCAAAAGCCAATATATTTTTTCCTAGACTTCTTTCACTAGTAATTTTTTTATGAGAATGTTCAAGAATAAATTCTCAAGGGTTTTAGGCATTTTTGATATTTAAACGCTGTCATTTCACTTCAAATAAAATTATGTATGGGGACCTGCCATTGTTCTTTAAAATGTACCGTTTACCAAACTATTACAAAGACATCGACGACATTTGTATCAGTGGCAGTTAAGTGAAAGTCATCGGGCTATTGGTTTTACATAGTTAGTAGAATACGAAAAGTGCAAAACTATTCCGACGACAGTCCATTGACAGTCTATTTATAATATATTGAAATAGCAGAATTGAGGCCCTGGTGTCTCTAGTTTTAAATTCAAATATATGAAAAAAATTGTGAAATGTATCCACCCTACCTGCACTGGTCATGAAATGGTCAGGTAAGCAGGCAGCCAACATTTCTGCCCTGGCTTTAGCCTGGGTCAGCTCTAAAGCTCGCAGCTGCAAGTCAATAGATCTAGTGGAAGCCCTGGATGCGTGCACCAAGGAGCCAAGCTCCACGGGTGGGGATGAACGAGCCTGGACCGGCTCTGGAGTTGATACTTGTTCTGAAGACGGAGCTGGCGAATCTGGAATAGAATAGTTAGCGTTCATTAATTATTTCGTTGCTTATATATAAATATTTTATAATATTAATAACCTGACAGATCTCACACCCGTCTTCCGATCCCAAACTAGGCAGAACCTGTACTATGGTAACCAGACTGCTGATAAACATACTTATATTACTAAATACATACATTTCCATATTAATATTATAAATACGAAAGTATGTCTGTCTGTCTGTCTGTTACCTATTCACGCTTAAATCGCTTGGCCGATTTAGATGAAATTTAGTATAGAGATAGTTCGAGTCCCGGGAAAGGACATAGGATAGTTTTTATCCCATAAATCGTAATTTAAGGGGTGAAGAAGGGGGTGGCAGTTTGAACGAAGAATCAATAACCGCTACATTGATTTAGATAAAATTTGGTGTGGAGATAGTTTGATTTTTGAGGAATAACATAGCCTACTTTTTTACTATGATAACCGATATACACGAGGGCGGAATCGCGAGCAAAAGCTAGTTGTAGTTTAATTACACCCAGATACAGAAAAAATGATCGTGCTCATCACACAATTATTATACCTAGGTGGGAATCAAACCCACGATCTCTGCCTTAGCAGTTAGGATCGCTAACCACTAGATCATCAGGCCCGTCAGTTTTTTAAGATACATTCTTATACTTGCCTTGTTTGGACTCAAGTTGAGTGCGGATATCGTTATACTGTTCTGTCATCTTTTGCACCAGCTCTCTGAACTTCAGTATAGTTGAATCCCTGTCCATTATAGTTTCTAGAGCTGCTTCTCTTTCTCTTATTGCCTGGAAACAATTATAGTAGGCAAATAACACTAAGTCAGAATCCTATTAAAGTTTACATGCGACCAGACAAAACAGTTTTTTGCCACATCACTTTTGTTTGTTTGAAAAAGTTACACACGGGGACTTCAAGTGGCGTTGGGAGGAACTTTAATGCGTGTCAGAGGGACTAAAGGGAATAACCGATTACCGAAACATGCATATTTTGGCTTACTTCTCTAGTATTAGCATGTGCCATCTCCAGCTCCTCCCGCAAGTCCATCTCCAGTTCCCGGTTGGACTCGACCAGTTGTTCGTGTACTTCTTGAAGTGCCTCCAACTCCGACACGTCTTGCTTCAACTGTTCCACCTGGAGATCAGAAAATAATAGTAATAAGCATGATCAAAGTTGTGTAATTAAATAAATAAATATGTACGGATTTGAGATCAGATATATTAATATTTATTTCAATACAACCAAGTATACCTGATCTTCCAACGCCATCTTCTTTTCAGCTAACTGCTCCACCATTTCTTCAGCACCTAACGCAGCGTCCACCTGTTCCCGGAGGTCAGCTACCTGAGCTTCGAGCTCTTCGACCCGAGACGACAGCTTCTCTTTAGTGCGGGACAGTTCTGCTATCTCAGATCTGTATTGTTCTAAGTCCTGGAATTTATATTTAGATAATAATTTTCTTAATGTCAAAAGATCATTCAAATTCTGTTAAAAATGACTGACAAAATGCTTTACATTACATATCATTGTATGTAGACTACGTAACCTCATTTAGACTTCGTGCTTTGCCGAATCCAGAATACTAAATTTCACAAAGAAATATAAATCAATCAACGATACCATTAGAGTTGACATCACATAATATGTAATAAAATACCTTTAGCATCGTCCACATACAACAAAACACAAACTTCAGAGTCATCTATCGAAGATTAGCTGAACTACGTTGTAACTGATGTCGTTGCACCGCGTCATATATTGTAAAATTTATTACAATATTGTACTAAAATTATACACAACGTCAAAATGTCTGCCATGTGGCGTAGTTACTCTGTATTCTCACCGCGACAGTTTAAAATTCACAAAAAAAAATGCTACAAAAATACAGATCCTTTGTATAGAAAAGAATATTTATGTTGAATATTTTTAGTTGTTGCAATGACAATAACATAAAAAATCTTTCTGTTTCTTTCTAGAAAACGTACGATATATATTGTAAGGCATGTGATTCCCAGTAAGGCGATAGCCTGCTCATAAATACAGAGCAGCAGAAACCATCTTTAATTATAGCTTTTAAATATAATAAAAATACCTACGAAAACAGACCCTAAATTTAATAATTTTTCTCCAACATACCTTATGCATCTTCTGCATCTCATGCTTATCATGCGCGGAGAGATCCCTGAGACGAACGAGGGTGTCCCTCAGACGCACGTTCTGTTGCTGAAGCTGCCTCATCTCGTAGCCGGTGGCGCCGGACTCTACGTACGGGTGCTCTGTCAGCGCACCGCACACACATACCACGTTAAAACAAAAGTGGGACGATACCCTCTGTGTGTCAGTCATCGTCTTGGGGGTGGGAGATTCAGGGGAGACATGTCAAAGGTATTTTATCCATCACACTGGGCTTGCTTTTGAAGCTGAGTAGGTGTTATTTGGACCTCTACAACTGAATGAAGTTTTACCAGATGATCAGTTGCTCATTTAAGGGGAAACTGAACGAAAATCTGATTCGGTCCCCTTTTTAATAAGAATTCTCAATCTTAATTTCAGAAAGATTCTTATGTATAGACTGGACCCAAAAGACTCAAAAAAAAATCTAAGGTTGTCCAGCCTTCCAAATTAAAGTGGCTAAAATTGGTGGGAATCATACGGGTCTAAAGTAGGAAACAGCATATGACAGTTCAATTCTAACGTAACCATTTCGTTATCTCATTGGCTGAGAATCATTGACTATTATCTATAGTCCAAGAAGCTTATGACATGCTGATTAAATAATTTCGGTCTTCGAGTGGATTTTTAAATTTAGTGAGTACATAGCATCAGTTTTTGGTTTATTGATGGCCAGCAGGGTATAAGGCCTAATGGAAGGCTTATTAATGCCAGCTTCTGGGTCTTCAATGGGAACCTACAGCGAACATAACTAGCTCAATCCAGAGAAGATACGTCTAACTACATTGTGACTGGATCACGCAAGGGTAGTTTCAACATCCCAATATTAATCGTTGCAATTTTGTGAAACAGTGGGAATGTGGGTAGTCTTTATTTATTATGAAGGAATAAAGCTAAATAAAAAATATAGCGTCACTAATATAATCAACACTTAAATCTTGGTCAAGAGTCCAGTTTATTAGGAAGCAATTTCGACTTTATAAAAGTGAAGGGAAATATTATAGGTAAAGGGATATGAGGAACAGTCCAAGGTAATTGTCAACGAGGGGTTAATAACAACACAAAACATAAAACGTAAATTAAAATAAAAACAACATGCTGTATACGTTTAATATACAAAGACTTAACACATTCACAGTTTAATATCTCTACAGTGGCATATATATACTGATCTTATTCACAGCTGGGTGAATAATTAGATAGGTTATAATGAAGAATTCGACGACCGAATGGCGTAGTGGTTTGTGTAACGGACTGCTATTCCAAAGGTCGCGGGTTCGATTCCCGCTCAAGTCAAACATTTGTGTGATTTGGTCTGAGTGTTTCTATGTATAATAAGTATGTATTTACAAAAAAGTCTAGTACCCATAGTACAAGCTCTGCTTATTTTGGAACTAGATGGCGTTGTGTGAATGTAGTACAATATTATTATTATTATAATTAATGGGTAACGCAAAAATTGGCTGTACATGATCCATAAACACATTTTTATATGCGTTCATTTATAACTTGTTGTGTGTGTTTAAGCCTAAGATAGGACCTTAGAGAAGAGACAGAAACTACTTTTGTTGCAATAAATGTAAGGTAATACATATGTGTATACTTTTTTTACTTGTAAAATGCATACAAAACTGGCAGGATGTACATGATTTTCTGGTTATTCAACATTCACTAAACATACCCAGTACCATCTAGCGACAGCAGGCTAAACTTTACTAAGTAAATTTATCTCTCATCCCAATGCCATATAGAATGTTATCTCATACAGTAACTCTTGATTTATTAAGCACACTACAATGCCTTTGAATGCCCCTCCCCCTCCATAAGGATTAAGGTACAGGGGGGAATAGGCGTATTATTTAATATTTACTTTTTAATGTACTGCTAACCTTATTATATATACAGCATATATGCAGTGGTAAGTGAGCATTGTTGCTATAACTTAAATAATAGTTTCTAGACCATATATGCAGTGTAATAAAAGCAATTAAAATATAATCTATCTTGTATTAACGCAAGAGAGTTTTAGCTTTGACAATGCAAGTTCAAATAAACCCAAAATTATATATTTTTTTCCAAATTACCCGTTTTTTTTAATATTATAGGCCCAAGCAGTGAATGTGCTAAGTTCAAGCTTAGTTACAAAACAAAATGAAACCTAAGTGTAAATTATATAATATATATTATACATATATGATATTCTATATGACACCAAATCGAAAAAAGCATATAAAAATACGTACACACTTTAGCTGTGTATGTAACTCTAAAAATATAAAAATAAATAACAATATATATAAATAAAATAAAAAATATTGTGAAGAAAAATATTAATAAAAGTTGATTTGTGTGTGCCTGTGCTCTGTTCGAATCTTTGTCTTTACATTAATTGGTTTGACCGGTTAATGTAGGAAAAGTCCTACATTTACCGGTCAATCCAATCAACGAAACGGTCTTTCTTGATGTACGAAGTTATTCAAATTTTATCATCATCATCATCGCTATCGCAGTCCACTATTGGACATAGCATATATTTAAAGTGAATGAGATTGTAATTTTTGTATAATATAAGTTTTGAAAATAATATTATTAGTATTTCAACTCACTATTTTTTAATTTATTAGTTTTGTAAACACACTGTGTAAAGACTACCGTTAACACATTGACCAGTCAATATGCATATTAACTGCGAAATAAATTAATTATAAACGAAAAATATAATATCATCTGATGGTAAGTGACCACCGCCACCTATGGACACCTGCAACTCAAAGAGTCACAAGTGCGTTGACTTCTTTTGACCGCCCCTTAAAGAATTAGGGGAGGGGTATTGGACACCGAAACCTCACTCGCTCGGGGGCAAACAGCGAAAGAACTGCTTAACACCGGTTTTCCGTGAGGCCATGGTATCACCCCGGTCGAGCCTGGCCTATTTGTGATGAAGCATGGCTCTCCTACGACGATATGTGGTTCGATCAGCGAACGAACCACTTCTATAAATGTTGGCAACGCGTTTCATCACTGCCACAAAAGTCTAATACCGGTTGCCTACTAATATATTACAACATAACATATCCTCTCAATATTAACATGTACAAAAACTCACGGATATTCCCTCCGGCTTCCATCTCCGCTTTCATAAGCTGTAAGTCCAGTGTAGCTTCTTCCAGCTTCTCCCTACACTGCTCAAGCTCAATTTGCAAGGCCTCGGCTCTTTCTTCTGCCATCTCTTTATCCAATGCTGCCATTTCGGCCGCCTCTTGGAGTTCCGCTGTCTCTTCGTTGTGTATTTCCAAAGCTTCTTGGGCTTCGCGAACCTATAATTAATAATATATATAATTAATAATAATAACTAAAATATCTTTATCATTATTATAGTCTTCTGACGGGTCTGTAGGGTCAGTGGTTAGTAACCCTGACTACTAACTCGGAGGTCGTGGGTTCCGTTCCAACCCAGTACAATTACTTGTGTGATGAGAAAGATCATTTGTTCTGTATGTGGGTGTAATTTATCTATGATATGTGTGTATTTAGAAACATATAAGTATGTTTATTAGCATTCTAAAGGAGAATTCTCGTAATAAAAGTTCGGTCACAATTCAGTTCCGATCAACTTTACCTGAATTGAGACCTAACTTTTATTACGAGAATGGGCCTTCTGGTTACCATAGTACAGGCGCTGCATAGTTTGGGATCGGAAAAATTATTTTGATCCGTCTTTATTTTGTGCCTCTACTGATACTTCCAACAGGCACCTGGCTGTGAAGAAGCCTTAAGAATCTCAGTCAGGCTTTTTTCATGATTTTATTTTATTTATTTACTGGCTCAGATCTTTGAGAATCAAATACTTAAGTATATGGTCTTATCCTGATCTACAACTACAAAAAAGTGCATTTAGACATAAACTAGTATACACCCCTACAATATATATCATAGACAATGAATGAAAACAAAAAGCAACTACCAAAAAATCTTACTTCTTGCTTCGCCCTCTGCAAGTCACGTTGCAACTGCGCTTGTGACTCCATAATCTTGGATTTGAACTCGTTAGCTTGGTCCAACTGGAGTCTGACTCTCTCAAACTCCCGTAGTTTCTCCCTGTCCTCTGCTCTGCGGATTTTTATCGTCTCCAGTTTCTCTTTCAAGTCTTCCACTTCGGCTTTCAAGTTGGTGATCTGCAAGACAAATATTAATACACAATGGTACAAAAACATTGATTTATTATTTACATTTTTTTAATCCACAGTTGTAGTGATTTTGTTAAAGTTAAAAAAAACAAAACATCCAATAAGTTTAAAAACTGTTTAATAAAGTAATATGTTGTTGTGTGCATGATGCGTGAAGGCGAACATAAATCAAGGTAAGTGAATAAATATTTCTATTCATATTGTGCAATCATCATCATCATCAACAGCCTTAATTTGTCCATAGGCCTCTCCTTTGTAGTCCAACCAACCCGTCTGGCCATCGAGGTAAAGTAGGTTTTGGCCTACTTTACCTCGATGGCCAGACGGGTTGGTATTGGGTTTGTTTCAAGTTTTCCTTCTCTTTGTAAATGTTGTTGTTCTGCATAGTTTGCTTAATCCGCTCACACACGGGATGAGTAGGGGTGAGGGAGGTGACACTCCGTATTCTTAATACGTCACCACACGGAAATGCTAAAATGGGGTATATTAATACTTACCTCTTGCTGAGCTTGGATGTTAGCTATCTTGTCCTCCATGCTAGAAGACGCCGGTTGTGGCGACGTGATACTTTGCCCAGGGGTGTACTGAGGAGTTAGGGTTTCTACAAAACCAGTCTGTAAGCAGCAAAAGCAATACATCACACGACAATATTTTTAAAAATAATTTGGAAGCCGTGTAAGCCTAAGATTCTGCTTTCTAAAGTGTCTAAAATAAAACCTCGATTCACCTACAAGTCCATAAAAAAACCTCTAGTATCTAACAGATTGGGCATTCGTGGTTCAAATAATTAGGGGTCAATTTGCCAACGCACTTCCATGTTTCATGGTGTATTTTATGCAATATGATGAAGGCGAGAATAAGCTTTGACCTAATAAAACTGGCTACAACACCAGCTCACAAACACAACTATCAAATTCCTTAAATTATTATATAAATACTAGCTGACCCGCGCAACTCCGTCTGCGTCTCTCAATAGTAATAAATAAATTTTCGCCGTTTTTTGAAACATTCTTCATTGGTGCTCCGCTCCTATTGCTCTTAGCGTGATGATATATAGCCTATAGCCTTCCTCGATAAATGGGCTATCTAACACTGAAAGAATTTTTAAATCGGACCAGTAGGTCCTGAGATTAGCGCGTTCAAACAAACAAACAAACAACCAAACTCTTCAGCTTTATAATATTAGTATAGATAGGTTGCAAAACTCCAAAACTGATATTAAACTTATAAAACACGTTTTATGTTCCCAACGTCAGCTTTTAAGTACTCAAACTTTGTACTAAAACTGAAAGAAAGTATCATAAAAAATACATTTAGTAAGACTCCAAAACCGGTATGACATCTATAAAACCGGTTTTGTATACCCGTATTTAGTATTAAGTTTCGAGAGTGTATTTCGTTACGTATGCGTCTGATGAAAATGTCATCAAAGTACAAAATCATGACGTCATCATATGTACCTATTCTCCAACTATCACTTGCCACTCAGTTCGAGGGCAGAAACAGCTGACTATGACGTAACTCCTGTAACCGTGACGTACCTCAACAAAAGCCGATCTCTTAGGCATATCGGGTGAGGCGGCCTGCTCAGTGGTCGGTGACGCGTATGAAGTGAGCGACTGGCGACTGCTCGCCAGTGAGGTTCGTGAACTGGAATATTTGGGCCTTCATCAGGTTGGTCAACGTATCTAGTCTGGGTTGTGATGGGTGCTTTGGTAACAAGATTGTTGTTGTGTTGTGTTGTGTTGTTGGTGTGGTGTGCTCCTAATGTGTTTTATTTTTTTAATATATATTTCAATAACATATTGTATTTAATATACATATTTAAATAAAAATCGTCGAATTACAACTGAAATAAATTACACCTGTATAAAGTTAGAACGATTTTTTATCTAAAGTAATGATTTTTTTAGAATATTAGAAATAAAATTTTGAAAATAAAGGCACAGTTGATATGTATTTTTTACAGTTAAAAATTGAAATCATTTAAGTTTCGTTTGTTAAATAATCTTGTCACTCGCAGCACATATCATCAACCCAGTGAGGAATAATATATATCGAACTTACCACCGTAAGACAATAAAAAACACAATTCATTCCAATTTCTTTATATCACCATGTTGGTACGCAAGCATTGATGATCTTACCTGATAGCGTACGTACGTAAGCACGTAATTCTGCATACGTAAGCACGTACTTGTACGTGCTTGCAACCATACATGACATGCAACATTCAATTTAAACACATCTAAATGTTAACTTAGTATGAACTTTAATAATAGTTGAAATGGGAATTACGAAAGGTAATTAAAACGTAAGGCTACTTTAGTACTTACTTTAAAATTATGTACAACGCCATCTATCGAATAAAATAAGAACTACTTAAAAAATTGCTGACGTAACGTTTATAATACTCTTACCAAACAGTGATTTAAGCCCCCAGTAAACAGCTTACTGATTTAAAACGGGTTATATTAATGTGTAAAATGAAAAGAGAATCTCTCCTATCAGTATTCAAACATAAAATATGTCAGAAAAAGCATATAAGTCATATAATACTATTACCATAAACTAAAGTAGGTATCAATTTCAATAACTACCCCCGTATCACGAAAAAATTATTGATGTCTTACATCTACCCGCTTTTTAAAAGTAAACAGTACCTAATTTCGTGAAAAGCGGGCAGTGTAACAGCGAGCTGAAAAAGCGAGCATTATTTTATTTGACCAATGAGAGCTCGTTAGCCACACATCATATGCGCATATATCTCAAGGCTCGCTCATTTTTTATTTCCTGCAAATTACGTATAGTACTTTGCGTTAAGTTTCAGCTAGTTAGTTTTTAATTAATTTCGTTACTGAACATCGGATTTCCCATTTTTATGTATAATAAGTATGTATTTACAAAAAGAAAAGTATATATGTATATATATCAGTTGTCTAGTACCCATAGTACAAGCTCTGCTTAGTTTGGGACTAGATGGCGTTGTGTGAATGTGGTACGATATTATTTATTTATTTATTTCAACCATTATTAAATGCAAAAAAAAACAAACAGAACAAACACTAACATTTACTACAAACAAATCATGTTTTTTTCTTATCTTCTGGCAGTAAGTTTTAACTTTAAATACACTGACCAGAAGAATTAAAAAAAAATGGTGCTTAAAATTCTGACATAGCAACATTGGCAATACATGTATAAAATCATCTAATAAACTAGTTCTAGTATCACTACGCGAATTTTTATTAATCAACAAAAAAAAACCTTCCAAACAAGCAGTTTTAAGAACCACCCAAAAAAGGAAAAAATAAGAAAATTGAGAGCCTCGTTTAGAAATGACAACTAGTGACGTCATTTGTTAGTATTAGTAGTTCAAATCGTTTATTTTTAATATTTAGTTTGATTTTTTGAATTTTAAAAAACAGTAATAAATTAAATGCTTCATTAGATTCATGAGGACTGTTAAATAAAAATTGGCGCCAAGACTTAATTATAAACAAAAAGAGTGCCTTCTTTTCTTGACATAAACAAATAAAAAATTAATTTAATTAGTTATTTGACTACTAAAAGAGATCAATAAATAATTATATGATCATTTAGACCTACACTCTGGATTATTATCGCCCTATTTTTGCCAAAAGTGACTGTATACACATGATATATATTTTTTAGGTCAAAACTTTAGCAATTACACTACCGGTGCTTTAAATTTTAACAAAACCTCTATGTATTTATTTTATTTTTAATTGAGTTGAAAAATAAATGGATTGGATTGAATTAGGTCCAATACCGAGTTAGAAAAAATATGTAGTGATACTTAACTATAAATATTAGATGTAGCACAATTGAAAACTGTATCTGGTCAATGTGATAAGCTCATAAAAAGCATGTCAGAAGACAAGCAGACACTCGAACATAGAAAATACGCAAACAAGGTGGAAGCCGAAATCTATACTGTACAATAAATATGTTAAAACCGACTTCAAACCTTTTTGAAATTTTTGGATCTCTTTTTACTGTTAAGAAATATATTTTTTGTTTAATTTTATTCCATATTTAAATAAGGCTACTATCATTGGATGAAAGACTGGATAAAAACTTAATTCTTAAGTGTTCTTTTAAATTCCAAATGGCTTAGTATCAATCATAATATTTTTATATAAGTGATTAAGTTTAAAGCGTTTGAAGTCGACCAAAAAATATATTTAAAAGCCATTCGCCAGAGTTTTATCATCCGCCTTGGCTAACGTGGAGTAAAACCCCAGGGATTAACCCACAAAAACATAGGTTTGAACCCACTTCGGTACATAACCAATGATAAAACTTTTGTAAATGGCATAAACAGAAACGCGTTCGGTACAGATATCACCAATAATCTTATAAATATACCGTGACTTGTATTTATGGCCAACCGAAAATATGTATATCTTAAAACTACCGATTCTGGTATATCTCACTACATACAAATAAATAAAATTGAAGTGTCTGTTTGTTATGTCAAAATAATAGGTTTTTCATGTACACACGGTTATTTGCGCGATACCTGTGCATAAAAACCAGGTTAAAGGTTTTTGTCTGTCTGTCTGTCTGTTTGTTCCGGGTAATCTTTAAAGCGGTTGGACCAATTTTGATAGTATTTTGCTACTACTAAAGCTTTTTTTTACAAATTTTTACGAAACCAAAGACCATGAAAAAACTTTAAAAAAAATTCGACAACTGGGAGAACTTTAGTGTCATCATCATCATCAACATCACCTCAGCCTATGCTTGTCCGCTGCTGGACATAGGCCTCTCCCAGTGATAGTGAACTTTAGTGTATTTATAAATATATTTTGTGTATCTCGAAAACGGCAATAGCCATATCAAATTTCTTATTTGGATAAGGATTTGTAGGTAGGTAGGTATATTCTTTTTTTTTATAGATCTGACTTTCTTTTTTTAATGTGATTTTACGAAAAAAAGGTATTAAAGTATATTTATCGGTATTCTAGACAACATAGTATAAGCTCTATTAATTTTGGGTCAAGCAGCGGAGTGTAATATGTCCCAGAACTTTATAAGAATTTGAAAATAATTTCGGTTGTCCATAAGTAATTTAAAGATGTATAATATATATAATATATAAAACTAAAATGATGTAGGTACACATTCGTGGCAAAAAAACCATAATTGCAAATAAAACTGTATGAAAAGTTAAAAGGACCATCATTTCTGATTTATATAAAAGTCACAGAATCGTAAACCATTTAATCACATACATAAATACACGGCCACAATTGCAAAAATTAACAAAAAAAAACTATTAAAATATAATTTAAAAAATAAGTATTTTGATATTAAAATACCAAAACAAATAGTATCTTAATTGAAAATATTTTAACCTTCTATAATTTAGGCAAGTGTAGCAGTACATAAAACGTAACATACAACAAAAAAATTACAGACAAAATAACATTGAAAATATAAAGGTGCTGCGAGAAATGCTGTGTAATACTTAAAACTATGATTATAATTTTTTTCTTTTATTGTGACCAGAAAATAGCCACAGAAAAAAAACCCAAAACAAAAAGGTTGTATACTATTGCCTGGTCACAAAACAATGTATTATAATGTTGATGCAACACAAATTCTACCTTAAACCAATATTATTCACTACCATTCGTTAAATTACTAAATAAAGAACTAAAGCATGCATGTTAAAATTAATTCAAGAGTTTTGAAGTGTATCTTATAATAAAGTATTTGTGCAGTAGTATTAACTAAGTAAGTAAGTAGTAAGTGTATTTAACGTTTTCAAATACAGTGACTAGGTTTACATACAAGAACATAGTCATATATTAAATCCCCGTTGTATATTTACACATGTATAACATATACATAAACCATTTGCATTAGAAGATAAATATATAAAAGACAATCAAAGATTCGAATTTTTGAAAAATATTTTCGAGGCTTAATTCTTTTCGAATCTCGAATTTTTCGAATTTCAAGTTTCTCGAAAATTTGAGGATTCGAAATTTTCGAGCATTGAATAATAGTTGGTTTAAAACTTTTTTGCCGTTTGTTATAGCAATAAGGCCCCTCATTTCTTAGGCTAGGTTCAGATGACAAGCGCTCAACGCGCGTTTTGATAACGCGCGTTTACAACTACATACATTTTATTCAGGCCGTACACATGCTAACGCGCGTTTTAGTAACGCGCGCGTTCAACGCTGCGCCAGCGCTCGACTGTTGTCAGCGCGCGTCAACGCGCGTTAACGCGCGCTTTGAGATCATTGGTTTTCTATGTTTCCGTTCAGTTGAGCGCGCGCTTTCGACGTGGATATTTGGACGTATTTTAGGATTCGTCAAGTTCGTCCGGAAATCGTCCGAAATGGAAACCGAAGCTTTTAATACGGAATTATTAATTGATGAACTAGAGAAACGTCCTGCGATATGGGACATGACAAGTAGCGATTATTCAGATAAGAATTTGAGAAGACGGGCTTGGGAAGAACTCGTCCTTATATTTTGTGAAGGACATGACAATGAAGAAAAGAAGAAAATATTATGTGAGTATATATATTTATTTACATTTACAATCGGTTTGTGTTACAAGTTAAATATAACGATCCTGCCAATCTACTTTTCCTTCATTGATGAAATAG